ATACTTATGATCTCACTGGAGCCAGCACCATTTCCATAGATCATTACCATTTTTGAAGTACATTAAACACCAATAATGATGATAATAGAAATAACAATAATAATGTAATAATAGGCCTAGCTGTAACTTACTACTTGATATGATCACCATCTGTGCGTCGTCCAACCACCTCAACGACCGTTACCTTATCTTTATAGTGCCGTCAATAAATGTTATGTAGAAACGGTCTAGTATATTCGCTATTCTTTCTAGGAATGATTTTCAAAAATAATTGTCGAGGGGATTCCCCTTAATAATTTTGGCTAGTGCTGAGCAACAATTAATCTGGTGTTTTTTTAATTAGTTTTTATCATTCTTTTGTTGGTTATGATCTTTAAATTGTGTTCCATCTTTATGTCCCCTCGACTCATCAGTATATAGGCCTACTTGCGTATAATAATATATTGTGTTCACTAGATAAAACGATTTAGGTACAAACGCAGAACACGGCATTATGACCTCGTCGAAGCTAGTACGTATGTCGGGGTGTCAGTTAAATTTTTTTTTGTACAGTACATTGTGTTTGCTGTTTGTCTTGTGGTTTACATAAGAAATTGTATGTGTTGCGTTACGCGTTTCTTGCGTTTGTGTCAAACGCGTCTAAACTACACTCTAGTGTAAGGTGGTGTTTTTTTTCATTGCAATCGACTATTCGATTTTATTACTGATTTTTTTCTGTTGTGGTAATTTTAGATAATAGTAAGGGATAAATAAAGAGGTTGGAAGGGGTGACTGCAATTTTCACAGTTTTAATGTTATATTGTCTTTATATGACAATAATAATAATTATTATTAATATTATATATTATTATTTTATAATAATAATAATTATTATTATTATTACTAGGCCTATTATTATTATTATTATTATTATTATTATTATTATTATTTCTGTGAAAATAATTTACCTACTATTTTTCTTCGACAGACTGTTGCAAGCGATCGTGCAAGCACAGGAAAGGTACGTAACTGCGTTTCATAAACTGTTGGGTTTCGATGATTTATATATTAGGCAAAAATGCCATTCAAAAATAAGCCAATGCATAGTTAGAATCGCGCATGCACGAATGGAGATCAATCGACACAACCACTACTCTAAATACACATAAAACAGGTTTGTCGGTTGACCTCGATTGACCTTGGATACGAACATGCGCAGCTCCAACCACAAATTGAGTTATTGATCACTGTCTAATAATGAAATTAGGCCTTTGTGATAAATAGGCCTACTCATAGTGTATTTTAAGTTTTAAAGAGTATACAGTAACAGAACAGCATAGTAGAACGTAAGTTTTTATCTCTATGTGATCAATATTTTATAATATGTCAATGCTTTTCTTCATACCAAATTATTATGAAATGATTATATGCACTGTATGTATTTTCCAACAGATTGTTGCGGACATTGCAAGGTACGCATTTATTTTCTTGAAGTATATTTATGTAGGAATGCTATTATGAGAAAATAAAATAAATAAATAAATAGATAGATAGATAGACAAAATAAATAAATAAATAAATAAATCATCTTTTATCTCCGTATTTCATAATATACAAATAACAATAAAATAAATAACAATATAAATACCTATACTATACCTAGAATGTATATTAGGTTATTAATGTTATAGTACATACATACATACCATTTGAACCAAGTTTTTATTTTGCCGGCTATAATTCAAATTTGCCAATTCTGAAGGTTAGGGCTAAATAAGTAAGAAATACCTGGTTATTTCTTACTTTTATTTCAATCTTTAAAACCTTTATTTACGCTTGTATGCATGTGTATGTGTGTACATACACACACACACGCACACCCACACACACACACACATACACACACAAACACACATATATATATATAATATATATGTGTGTATTTGCATATATACGACATTCCTCACTTATTCTAAAAAGAATAGAATTAACATTATTATGCCTGTCTCTTATACACATCTAGATGTGTATAAGAGACAGGTATGTTTGTGTGTATATGTATGTGTATAATAGGTATATATCTTTATATATTAGTTTTTTTTTTCTTAGTCCGATCTTCATCAATAGTTAAGTGGATTTGAAGTTTTCTGGACATCACAACTTAAAGTTCTGCGAACTTACTTTGACCTCCATCCACATTGTTTTTACATCAAATTGTTTTTTATAATGTGTTTGACTATAAGATTTTTGTGGAAAATTTTAAACAAAACACGAATCATCACAATGTTATTTTAGCGAATAGGAGTTCTACCGGTTAACTATTCACTGCATATGTTGAATTATTTAATGTCATTGTCATATTTTATCCTCTAGGAAGAAAAAACAGCAGTTGCGAGTGCACACTTCGTTGGCGACGCAGCAACCGTTGCTTCAGTCAGTAAGTGTATACAGTTGTACGATTTAATGTTGACGATTTTGCCGCCCTTGTTATGCAATCACCACCTCATACTAAAAAAATCACTGGTTGTTCACTGTAATGTCTCGCTCTGGTTCTGGTTCTATGGCTACCACTCTTTTCACTTTTTATTTGGAGATAATAGTTTTGTTCCATGTTCACTAACCAGTGTTCTCCAGCAATAATTGCAGTAATTTTTTGGGACGCGTTACTATTGCGAGCGGAAGATGAATTGCGGAGCAATAAAATAGTGGATTGGGAAGAGATTTCGCTTCACCTTTGCTATGAAATTGAACAAAATTATTTTTCTGTGATTCGATCGGCTGCAATTTTCCCGGCTAATACTACTGGCAAATTATGCATTTTGAGAATACTGACTAGTCTATTTAGTATTTACCTATTTTACATGTATATTTCGCTGCTTGCCGGGCTTACAATCATTAATACCATTATCATTTATCATCAACATCATTACCATCGTTATCTTCATCATCATCAACATCTTCATCATCACACCACCATCATCATCTTCATCATTATCAGACCCATTATCATAGTCATACTTATCATTAACATTTTCATTCTCTTTATTATTTTATATCATATTATATTATTATTATTATTATTTTTGGATATTATTATTATTATTATTATTATGATTATTACCACCACTTATTATAAATATTATTATTATTATTATTATTATTATTATTATTATTATTTTTATTATTATCATAATCATAATCAATATTATTATTTTTGATTATTATTTTTATAGTAATAATTATTATTATTGTTAAAAATTAACCGTAAAATATGCTGAATTGCAACCAAAAATTCACATACATTTCTCGAGAGCTAACCATTATTAGTTGTGTTATGTTACTGTTAAACATAGCTTGGTCCACAAGCGAGATCAAGCCTGCTACCAACCAGCATTTGACTTGTTCTCTTTCCTTGTATTATTAGATCGGGATCCGACGAATCCAGCTATGGCTAAAGTTGGTGAGATGGTAGTTTATTTCTTTTTCGGCAACAGTCAAACGGAGTTTCATTCTTAATACGGTCCTTACCTGTAACAGGGATCGCCTATATATAATGTCACTACAAAACGGGTCTAATAGGCCTCATTATATAATTGGCCTACTACTAGAGAGGTTTCACCACCCATTGTTCAAAACTTGCTGACGACATTCCTCACTTATTCTAAAAAGAATAGAATTAACATTATTATGCTATTCAAATGCAAAAATCTGTTTAAATGTCGCCTACTGTAACATCGATGAGGTAATTAGTGGTTAGTCTGGCTGAGGAATATAGACCAACCATAGGCCATACTATTGAGAAAATGGCACCTTCAGATACGCTTGGAAATAGCACTGATTCTCTGACTTAAAATTGTTTTTGATTATGTTCTAATAAAAATATTGAATCCATAAGGCCATCATGGACATATTAAATCTAAACATAGTATGTCGGTTTAAGTACAAATTATTGTCACTCAAAAATCTAGTAATATCGTGGGAAAATACGAAAACAATGAATGACTTTCAGTGCAGTAAAGAAAAATAATTTTAAAACTCTGAAATGGATATTGAGTTTCTAGAATATTACTGTCCAATATCAATTCTAAAAGAAAATTCACCTGTTTCAATAAAATCATGTTTGGTTGAAATGAATGTGTACTAGGACTAATATAGGACCACAACTGTTGTCTGGTCTCACACCCACAACTAAAAACTGATTTGCTTTAAAACTTAACGATATTAATGTTTTTATGGTCTGAATGGTTTGAATCGATAAGGCCATCATGGACATATTAAATCTAAACATAGTATGTCGGTTTAAGCACAAATTATTTTCACTCAAACATCTAGTAATAGGCCTATCATGAGAAAAATACAAAAACAATGAATGACTTTCAGCGCAGTGAAGAAAAATAATTTAAAACTCTGAACTGGACCCTGTATATTGAGTTTCTAGAATAATTACTGTCCAATATCAATTCTAAAAGAAAATTCACCTGTTTCAATAAAATCATGTTTGGTTGAAATGAATGTTTACTAGGACTAATATAGGAGCACAACTGTTGTCTGGTCTCACACCCACAACTAAAAGCTGATTTGCTTAAAACTTAACGATAATTATGTTTTTATGGTCTACACCTTCGGTCGGGAGCCTTTTATTCTGTGAGTGTCACAGGGATTTTACTCCTCCGCCGTCGTCGCCCCATTGAAAATTTCCGAAACAAAAATATGACTCAAAAGTAGTTCACCTCATACTACGGGTGTGAGAGTGGAGGTAAAATCACCGTGAAACCGGAATCCGCCTTCATCGGAAGAACACACAGGACCGCTTTCGCTGCCTCTCATGAAGACTTAGATCTAATTCATTCCTCTACTTTTCACCTAGTTATGTCTGGTACACGTAGACTGCGATGTCGTCTGTACAGGATGCCAGATTTTCGGTGGCAGTCTGCCGCTTGTCGTCTGTCTTGCGACGCGTCTATTATTCTAGTTGAACGGCGAAACCTCTCTACTGAATTCGGTGCAGGGAATTCATAAGCATTACATAAAAAATTTATAATAAATTAACGCACTGCAAAACTATAGTTGACCAAAATAATACATTAATTGATTGATTGATTGTTTATTAATTTATTGGTTGATAAATTGATTAGTTATTCTTTCATTGATTGATTGCTTATTAATTACTGTTTTGATTGGTTTATTCTTTACGTAATCTTTGCTGTTCTCCCTTTGTATTTTATGTCTCGTGTGTATCATTTCATCCTAACGTTATTCCTCTATTTTATTCTTATTCCACTTCCAACACAAATTAATTATCATTTCATTGCTATCGCATTTGCAAAAAAACATACGTTTTAATATATAAAGGAAGTACATTAACCGTAATGCATAGTTTTTAGTTTTTTTTTACTGTTTTGTCAACAATCTCAACACCTTTCAGTATGTATTATTAGTGTGTCGCTTTAGTTAATTTAACATGTGTCGTAATAACAACAGATATTCATGTAGTACCAACCAAATAAAAATTATCATTATCTATTGGAACGAACAATAGTCTCTTGTTTCACTTTCTAAATATTCATATATATAATGCATATGCATATATACACGAACGAACTTTTCGTTGATGGGGTATCCTGATACGTTTATAACACTTTTTGTTCCTAAAATTGAGGAATGTTTTTATCATTTACCTATTACATTTATACAGACGCCTTAACCAACTGGACCATTGAGGCCTTGTTGGGAAATTAAATCCGAATAAAATATCTAATTCTTCACACTCATGCGCATGCGTAGTTGGATGCATGGCAAATAACAGAGATCAATATGATACAATCAATATTTACGACAATACAGGATATTCGAGGAGATACAAAATTGATAATCTGAGAGCTAACTTATTTTGCGTATATAAGAGCTATGATTTTATCGGTATTAAGGGTTATATTCTCCGCGATTCAGGTTATCTAAATATCTCTTTTTGCTTAGGTTATGTACTACGATGGTGAACATCCGTTTGTGGGACATAGTGTCTATGTGAACAATCACCGTCTTCTCACTTGTACCGAATGTGTTACGAACAAGTCTCTGAAGTACAACACATGTTACATTGGCGGGGTGACGCGGATTGAAGCTAATTCTACCGTTGGGATCAAAGTGGGCAGCGATGGGCCACGCACGATAAATCTGGCCCCCGACACCACTTATTTTGGGATCGTTATGTTGGGATAATAAACTGTTATTATATGCTCTTGTAACCAACAACTCTGAACATAAAATTCTAAATTTTTAATATAATAAAATATTATAGAATGTCGACGTTAGGACAATATTTTGTCCGTAGTTAAGTAATATTTAGCTTGTTTAATATCATTCTTACGTCATCCTACTAATGGCCCACAATACAAAATTAAATATATAGCATGTTGAAAAAAAAAAGTAAAGTAAATTCGGCGCTCTGAGCTTGAATGCATACTGATTTAAATTTGGTTTAGAATGCACCGAATTCACTATGTAGTGCCCTATGACCTTTAGGTACCGAGAGGAAGACGAAATGACTTGCGTTGACGAGGTGTTGGGGTGGGGGGAGGAAGAAGGTGAATTCTGTAACACGGACACTCACTAAAGCTACATATCAAATGTGTAATGAGAGGATGGCAATATGCTTTCATTATTGTAGCTACTTCCACGTTGCAGTGTTTTTTCAGTTTAGTTTTGTTGAGTATTCTTATATATATATGATCGTTGTTTTTTCCGCTTGGTAAGCATAACATCGATAATACGGATATCCTAGAATCATTTCAACATTCATTTTCATTGCATTTACTTCTTTTCACTTTATTATGAGGGGGTGGTATTTCGTTGACAATTTTCTTTTATTTTTTTATACGTTTTTCAGTTTTGTTTTTACTCTTCATACTGTATGTACAGCCTATTAATTTAGCATTGACACGGATTTCTGTGAATGAATGTCCATGCGTAGCACCATCATCCAAATTTAATAATAATGAAAATTACTTTTATTTTGCGTGTATGTATAATTCTTTCGGAATTAAGGGTTACTTCGCGATTCAGGTTATCTAAATATCTCTTTTTGCTTAGGTTATGTACTACGATGGCAATCATCCGTTTGTGGGGCACAGTGTATATGTGAACGACCACCGTTTCCTCACGTGTACCGAATGTGTTACGGACAAGTATCTGAAGTACAACACATGTTACATTGGCGGGGTGACGCGGATTGAAGCTAATTCTACCGTTGGTATCAAAATGGGCTACGAGAAGTGCACGATAAATCTGGCCCCCGATGCCACATATTTTGGGATCGTTGGATTAGGAGAATAAATTGTTACTAGTGCATTTGACTTACGACGCCCTATCTAAATTTCTAAATATTATACTATAATACAGGCATAGCGCAGATGGTGGTATAGGACGACATTTTTTGATAGTTAAGTAATATTTCGATTGTTTGATGTTTTGCACACGTCATCCCATCCACAACCCACCTCAACCGGTCCACCAGAATTGAAAATGCGGCATCTCTTTTAACTACAGGTGCAGTATTACGACGAAAATGATTTCACTGGACACAGTATCGTGATTAACGGTGAAAAGTTTGTCTCCTGTATCGAGTGTCCTGTAGACAGTTACCGGAAGTTCAGTACTTGCTACATCGGTGGGGTCACTCATCTTCAGGAGAATTCCCAGGTAGGCCTCAAAGTAACGCGCCCCACAATAATCCGACTCCGCCCGGATACATCATATTTTGGTTTAACTAAGCTTGGTTGACGCGTTTTTGGATTTAATCAATAAGTCATCAGGGGCCAGATTTTCACTGATTCAAACTCGTACGCACTCATTTCTTGTAAATATGTATCGTGGATCAAGTGTGGATACTTCAGAATAATCAAATAATCGTTAAATGGCATATATTTTTTAGGAATGCATTAAAATGTAATAAACGTTTTATATTGTATATAGACTTATTGTAAATAGTCATTTTAGTGCTTTGGACTAGCCAATATTTTATCATTTTCTGCCGTAATTGTTACAGTATTTGTTATTATCTTAATAATACTTAAAACGACTCTTCCGTAACCCGTCATCAATAAATCAGTAGCTCACAATTCGCTTTTCTATTGGCTGTTATGCAGTGAGTATCACCATTTGGATCTACGCGGTGTATGCGAAGTGACGTACTAACTGGTCTCAAAGACAGTCGGTTTAACAGTCAAGTTTTACGTATTCATTCATAACTGCGCTGATTTGAATTTCAAATCTTAGAATTGTTTAAGTGCCATTGCGTGTCTTAATTTGTATATAGAATTTCATTTTAAAATATTAATGTATTTTTTTTAATTGTGTTACCACTGCCTTTGGTGTCATTTTAAAGAAAAGTAGATTCAGTCTAGATGCAATATTTATTTTTCCGAAGAAAGTTTTATTTTATTGGATGTCGGCGTATTCATTCGGATTTATTTTTTATCAGGTAATGCTACACTGCCTCCACCTTACAAGCATTTTTGAAAATAGTCCAATTATTAAGTATTAGAAATAAAACATCCATATTATTTACCGAAAAAAATTATATTACTTTAATTAGCAAAACAGCTTTCTGATTGTTTGAATGTTTGTGCATTTATTTGCCGATTAACATATCATGAAATGATATTGATTTTTGCATAAATTGATCTGGGTTCATTAATTTCTCATACTGTACTCTTATTTAAGTTTTAATTCCACTATTCCCTTGTATCTTGCCTTTTTTATTTTGATTTATCTTATGATTTGTGTTAAACTTTATTCACACTATCACATTTTATGCGACAAATTATGTGCACATTGCCCATATATGGGCATGGTGATATCACATCACACCTATATATGGCACGATGATATTGTATATTGTCATTTAATGGGGAAATCACTCATATTTGCCACACAAAATGTGAATGCGAATAAAGCTTAAGCTCCCCACTTAAGCTGCGCCCGACGGTCGTGGGCCTACGCGACTATATGTAGAACGCAACGCCATGACGCGCGCGTAAGGGATCGTTTTTAATGGCGGTCCGTTCAGACGACCACCAAAACTCAGCAGACGGCGTCGCGTCGTCTAGCGCTCACAGATAGCTGAGTTAGGGTCGCAGTTAGTGCCCGGTTTTAAACAATATATTTAGCATGTTGGCTTATTGTTTAAAATGAGCTTTCTATATTATTGTCATTATAGTGCTACAACATGCTAGGTAATCATTTATATTATTACTGACGACGAATGAATACTCAGAAAATCAGGCCTATATGAAATAAGCCTATATCGATTAAATTGATTATAAGGCATGTATTTTATTAAGTTACGGTATGTAAGATACATTTTTCTATGAATAAAATTATTTGGTGTTGTAAAAAATATTTTGAAATATGTTTGTATATTTTATAACGTCATCAGTAAGATTTATTACGTACGTACAATTGATAGTGGTGTGTGTGCGTATGTTTGCGCCTGTATAACGTAAACGACAGTATGTGCGTGTATCGAGTACACAGAATGTGAATGGCTAGAAGTTATTTTGACATAGGCCTATATCTTTAAAACTACGGTACCCTTTGTAAAACACAAACAAGACATCATATCAAAAATTTATTTTATTTATTTTGTCTGAATAAAATACAGTACGCAAAATAAACACCGGTTGCCATACAACATAATGTCAGCAAGTGAACCAAAACAATATTTAGTAGGTCTGATATTGCACTTTTTCTATTACACTCGGATATAAAATGTATTACAATTAAAAATGAAAACATATCTTAAATCTGTAACATTAAATAACAATACAAATTTGCCTAAACAATAGATAATAATATTAATAATAATTATTATTAAAATTATTGGCAGCTTTAGCTTTTACACGTAGACCAAATAAAATAGTTGCTTAACCTTATTTAATTATTGGCACATGTCATATCACATCAAATCCCTTATTTTGTCATTACACTATTATGAACACATAGCCTATACATAACACTTTAAACCGTATCTGACACAAATAGTTTATTGCACTCATTAAACATCGATATTAGGCCTAGTGGGTATTGAACCCCTGAAGGCCATGCTCAGGTGAACGCATAGAGTTACCAAGCTGCGACCAAAATATTATTGACAATTCATTACAGGAAGTTATTGTGTTGTGAAGTCTAAATCGGGTAAGCCTA